GAGTCCCTGAAGTCTTGAGCTTGGCTCTGCTAAATGCACAGACAAGGTGTTATTAATTAACAATTGAGATAAATGCCGGAATAGCATCCCTGAATCATGTCAAACCAATTTGGATGGTTATGGGATGGGGAAAAGGGGAGGAGGCCATGGACAAGGGGTGGGCTTCGTCTGTTCCAAGTGCTTTGGACAGACTCCAGTGTTACTTCTCCTCATTTAGACCTGGCTGGAGTGCCTGGAACTCAGGCCAGCATCCACATCTCTTAACCCAAGGCAGCCTCCTTTGGAGCAAAACAAGAAACCAAACTTCACAGATGGAGGTGGGCTGAGAAACACTGTCGTGGAAACCTTAATTTAGGGAGAGAAGTGTAGAAGCTGCTGGTGGGTGGAAGAGCCTCCATCACAGGTTACTGACCACACAGATCGGTGGCTTTGAGTACTCTCCCGGGAGAGATACTGAAGATGTTGGGCTCAATGTGGTGATGGGCTTTCTTTCCTGTCCTGTGGCCGACACCCACACTCCATGACAGTCGCCTCTCCACGCTCCCACGGAAGGGGGGTCTTCCACCCTGTCAGCCCTGACTGTAGTAATTATAATAATGTGTTATACATCTTATCTCTTCAGATGGATGTGAGCTCTTTGTGGACATGCATCGTATTTGTCCTAGAATTTCCAAAGGCCTCTTTCCAATGTCTGACATTTAGCAAACTCTGAATGAACGTTTGTTAAACCATCCAGGGAAGTCATGCAATGCTGAAATTTGATGAGCACTGGTTAGAACCTCAGTGGTTATAGACTGTGGGAAAACTACCGGTTGGGCTCCATCTATGGGGACTCAGCATGCGTTCTAGAAATAACGGCAACAGTACCAGCAATAACATTAAAGCTGGCAGCAAGCTGCTCTTGAAGGCACCCCGTGAAGCAGGCACCTGGTAAAACGTATTGCATACATTTTGTCAGTGAAACCACACGCCTGCTAATGGAGTTGGCATTATCATGCCTATTACACAGACAAGAAAACTGAGACCTTGAGGAGTCAAGTTACTCGCAGAAGTGGGACACAAAGACTGCTTCCTGAGCCCAGGCTCTTAACCGTCATGATGTGACAGTGTCACCTGAGCAACCAGAGCAGTGACAGGAGAAGGAACAAGAGTCTAACTTTTGGTGCCATGTTAACACTACGGAGGGAGACGCAGACAGCTCGCTAATACAGTAAGGCAGGATGTGACGCACTGTTGACTGTGGACAAGCTCAGCGTAGAAGGGCTTTTCCTACCCCCTCCGCTCCAGGCCTCCACCCACAGACAGGAGAGAGAGTGTCTGATAGGATTCCACAGGCACTTCAAGCAGACTCCCAGGCTGGCTTGAAATGATGAGAGCTGGGCTTTGTACAGACAGAGGACGGGGGTTCCTGACTCCCAAGTTCTGGGTGATAAAGGCATGTGGGGAAGGAGTAAGGCCTGTCTTTCCAGGCCAGATGGTCTAACAATGCCTCCCCACCTTGAGGTTCCCACTTTTAGAGGAGATCTACACCCTTTCTCCTACCCCTGGCTGTGATGAACTAAATCTCACACCTCTGTCTTGGTGTTGATAATTAAATATTATCTGCCTGTCACTTGATGCACATGTTGTGTGTATTCTGACTTTAATGAGCTGGTATTTGTCTTCTGTAAGCAAAAATATTTCTTTGAGTCTCTTCTTTTTCAAATTGGGGTGAGCAGTTCAAGTGAAGATCTTTCACTATTAAAAAGGCAGTCTGCTTGCCAGCAGGTCTGTCTGAACTGTTTCTACTTCTCAGGGGCAATGGCAGGGAGAACTTGCCCCTTCAGCATCAGCCATTGCTTCCTGAGGTTAAGTTAGCGGTCACGTGGCTGCAGGGTGTAGGGAGACTTTGAAAGGGACAGGATTAAGAAGGTAGGGAACTGGCATAAATTGTTTTTTGGGGGATATTCGTAGGCAGCTCTTTCCAACAGGGCTTCTCAGCTAGGTACCACGGAATATAGAAAATGTCTGAGTGAAAATTTTCTCAGGTCTTCTAAGGAAGGCACTTAGTACCATTCCAGATACATAGGAGACACGTCAAGTCATTCCATATAATGAATGTCTTAGGACAATGTTTCTCAAAGAGAACCTGCCTCAGCATTACCTGGAAATTTCCTCGAAATTAAAATTCTTGCACCCCGCCCCACACCTGCGGAATCCGAAATTCTGGAGGAAAAGTTCTAGCAATCTGTGTTTAATCAAGCCCTCCAGGGGGTTTTGCTACAGTTTCTGAACCACTAGTGGCTGCAAAGCACCAGGGCTTAATTCTCTCCCAGGTTGAAAAAGGCTGTCAAGGGCTTCAAATATCTGTATCCATATTTGTATCTATATCTATCTCAGTTTAAAATAAAAAATATCTATCACTTTAAACTGAGATTTTTTTTTTTAACGTAGAGTGTTCCCGGATGAAAAAGTGATTTGCCTCTTCCAGCTCCACTTTGGAAGAGCACCCCATTATTTCCCCATTCATGAGTTCATAACAAATGTGTTCATTGCAGCTGCTCCCCTGGCCGACATGCATGCTCTGCCTGGGTGCCTCCTCTGACCTACTGTCAGGGTCAGAAACCACACAGCCCTGCCTGAGAACTCCCAAAGCAGGAAAGAGCCTGGGGCAGAACTCCTACCCCCACCAAAACAAACAAAAAAGTGATATAATTAGTGTGCTGCAGGATTGGATCTGGAGTTGATGAGGAGCAACTTTAATATTTATCAATAAACAGCAAAGTGCTTAGCACACCTCCTAGGGAAGTAATTAACCATAAAAAGGATACTCTGCACTGAGGAATCTCCTCCAAAAAAAAAAAAGAACTCAGTTAATTGTGAATTGCTTACACCAGGTGAGAGACAATCCGTGTCTACCTCTCTCACCTGACATAAGCAACTCTGAATTAACTGGGAGTTTCTTTTTATAAACACTGTGCAGAGCCTTTTTTTCTTTTTTTTTCCTGGTGGCTAATTACTTCCTTGGGAGGTTCGCTTTAATAGTTCCCATAACAAGGCCATTATTGTCTTTAGCATAATCACTGCCTCATTTGCTTTTGTGCCTTGCCTCCCTGACGCTCTGCCTCTGCCCACCAGGAGGGACCCTGAGTCCTATGTGCCTGCAGTGCAGTCCTTAGGCCTGGACCAAGAGCACCTCATGTGCCTCTTCCAGTTCTACCATGTCAGGAAATCGATTTTCTCCCGAAAGGAGTTGCCATCAGCCATAGGACTGGTGGAGAGGAATGTAGATGATGCAGGGCGTGTTGGGGAGACTGAGTCAGTCCCCCTCCCCTACGTGTGCAGCATTCCAGCCATTTGCTATTCTTTCAGCTGCTGACACCTGCAGTGGGGAAGGGAGCCAGGACAGCGACTCCTTTCTGGAAGAGGAAGGGAGCTGATCTATAAGCAACCACTTTGCTAGGTGAAATCACCAGGGACCAGAGGCAAAAACGGAACCTTATCAGGAGAAGTAATGCGATTTTGACTGTCTCTCTTGGAAAAAAAAAAAAAATGTATGGATATATGCAGTTATGGCTCACTTCATTCAAAAATGAATTAAAGTGGCTTCTATTTTGGCTCTGTTTCAGGAAGCTAAATGAATGAACGGGAGCTCTGTAAATTACATCAGGTCTATAAACTTTTTTTTGATTGGTGTACTCCTATCATTGTATGTACATTTGGTTATTTACACATTATGTATGTACAAGTATAACAGCAATAATAGATTATGGGAATTGCAAGTGTCTATTAAGAGGATGAGGAAAAATAAAAATATAATAATACTTTCATCCATCACCCTGATGAATTGCGCCCCTTTCTGGACACTACCTAAGCCGACCCTCTGGGGCTGTGAGGGCAGGAGCTGATATTCTCAGAGCACAGGGATTGACAGAGTGGGACTAGACACATTTTTCTTAAATCAAATAGTTGGAGACGTGGATCCTCTTACACCCTGAAACAACCTGCTCTGAGGGAATTCTGACCAGTTAGTAATTTTGGCGGGAGAAGGTCACACACCTTAAGGGAGCACTGCTCCATATTCTTAGGAAATCACACAGCCCGTATGCTAACGCAACCCCATTTAGCCCCAGAATCTTAGCACTCCATCAGGGAATAACACAGGAAAATCCAGTTCAGAGATTCAGAACAGGGATTGGCAAATTTCCTATAAAGGGTCAGAGAGTAAATATTTTAGGCTTTACCAGCCATGTGGTCTCTGTCCAACTCCTCAATGCTGTCTTTGAGGGTGAAACATAAACCGACAGGCATTGTTATGTTCCAATAAAACTTTATAAGAAAATGCTAAAATTTGAATTCCACACAGTTTGCATATATCTTGAAATATTGTTGTTCTTTAGATTCCCCCCACACCCCCAAACTTTAGAAATGTAAAAACCATTTTTTAGCTCATATAAAACCAGGCAGTGGATTGGATGTGGCCAACAGGCTGTCGTTTGCTGGCCACTGGTTGGAATGTGGACTTTGGAGTCAGAGCTGGGTTTGGGCCCCAATTTTACTATTGGTGGTTGACTTATCTTAAAACAGTTACTTAACTGTAGCCTAAGCCTCAGTTCCCTCATTTGTAAAGTAACATCTCTAAGGGTCGTAAGGATGAAGGGACTGCCTGAGATGTCTGAGGGCAGCGTGCACCCCATTCTGTGGTCATCACCATCGATTCGTTTGAAACTCCCAGCCCCGGAGGCTCAGGCAGGAATGGGCACCCGGGGGCCGCGCCAGGGCCCAGCCACCTCTCTGTGGCAGTATGTGCTTGAGAGTCCAAAGCCAGCATCAAGCCCCAGGGCCTCCAGCCCTTGCCTCCAGGAACCCTCACTGGCCCATCCTCTGCTGCATCTGCGTCAAGAGAAATGTTACAACAGCATTTGACAGTAGGGGAGGTCTTTCAGGAAAAATGACTCATGACGGAAGTGTACACAATGCCCTGCTCTTGAGGGGCTGGGAATGAGAAGACGCTTGCTCACCTCCCTCATTATCCTTGTTATCAGCACAGGAGGTTTCCATGGCAACGTTGCATCCGGGCCCTCTCCAGCCGGTCTGGCAGACACACTGCCAACTGTTCTGACCCAGTGTGCATCTCCCGTTGCCGTTGCACAAATCGGGGCAGCCATCTGGTTGGAGAAACGGAGAGGATGAGAAGGAGGGGCGCGAGGCCGCACTGGGGCAGCAGGGGGAGCCATGCAAAGGGGGAGCAAGGCCGCAGGGCAGCCACTGGGCCAGCCTCAGAGTGGGGCCCGTGCCTGCCTTCCAAAGAGTCGGGGAAGCAGGCAATGCATGCAGTTGCAAGACACAGTGGGGTCCCAGATGCAGGGGATCCCCAGTGACACTGACCTGTGTGAAGGGGTCTGAGGCAACCTTCCCAAAGTGGGGAATATTCCAGAAAACTAAACCAGCTCTGAGCTTACAAGCCTAGGTAGGCTGGAATTTCCAGCCAGTAGCTCAAGATTGAGGCTACCTCAAAAAAAAAAAAAAAATCTTTTCTTTCTTTCCTGTTTCTTTCTTTTTCTTTTTTTTTTTTTTACAAGTACCTTCTGCAGAAAACAGGAAATTCCCTATCAACCCAGGACGGAGGCAAAGTACCCTCCATCATTCAGAATTTTAAGGATATATTTATATATGATTATCACAAGTTTCTTATAACAAGGAACTGGATAGTTCTGCTGGGCTATTTTCATATTTTTGTAATAGCTTTAAGGGGCACTTTAAAATGTTGGCTATTTATCACTCAACCTATTTATGGCATGATTTAAAAATACTGCCGAGTCTGAGGGCCGTGGAAGGATTAGGTACTCAGTGCCATGAACAGGGAAAAGAGAAAAATGTGTATGTGCATGAGGAATGAGGTGACGTTTGAGTAATTCTTATTTTGTGGTAACCTTTTCTTTCTTTCTTCTTTTTTTGGGGTGGGGAGAAGTATGAAATCAGCAGCCTAATTCCCTAATTGCTCCAGCACCTAAAACAACTGTGGCTACCACCCTTCTGACCTGAGCTGGGGCCCAGGGATCGTGGGCGTGGGAAGACGAGAAAGGGTGGCGGGGGGTGGGGCACTAAAGCGGGGTGGGAAAGCCTCCCCAGCAGAGCCTCTGTCACCCTCTAGAAGATGCAGAGAGCAGCACAGAATTGGTAGGATGTCGCCACCCTCACAAAACCTACTTGCTGGCAAGAATTCCTGGATATGTTCTCATTTTTCCTTTACCAGCTTTATTGAGCCATAATTTACATACCATAAAATTCACCTGTTTTAAGTGCACAATGCAGTGGCTTCTAGCAAATTTACAGAGTTTTGCAATGTAGGTGTTTTTCTTACTTCATTTAAATAGACCCCAAATGACCATTAATGTCATTATCCCCAGGAAGTAACTTCCCGAATATCCATCTATAATTCAGTCTCCCCCTCTGTCACCATGTCTATCTCCAGCTTTGGTGGTGTATTTTTTTTTTTTAAACCACACGAAGTGCAGGGTGGACTGGGCTGTGGTGGGGGCATGAAGAGCTTTGCAATGATGGAGGTAATTGATTTGAAACCATTCTGGCCCAAATCTTCTGAATCAAAGCGTGCCTCTCCCCTTACTTCTCCCTCCAGTGTTCCAGAGGCTTTCGCCAGCCATCTTTCCTCTCTTCTCTCAAAAACCCATTATGAGAACGCCAATAAACCTAATTTGTGCACGTGGCAGTGGTGGGAATTTAAAGGACTCCTCCTAGGAAGAAAGGTCTGGAGGGTCTGAAAGTGAGTTGAAATGTACCTATTTAAGGTATCTTACTTTTGAACGCTTGTTCCCCCCATCCTTTCCAGAATGTGGTACAGGTTAGGTCCTGAGAGAAGAGGGTAAGCGAAAGAGGAGAAGTTCTCTGTGGGGAAGTCTCTGTAAGGAAGCTGAGCTGTCTTGAGAGGAGAAAGCAGGAGACTGTTACCAGAGAACCTGTTTTCTTAGCCCAGCACTAAATCCAGATGCAAACAAAGCCTAAGTGTTTGCATACCTCAAGAAAGACTTGCTGGTATTCACACCTATCCTTACAGAGCCCAGATTCACATTTCCATTCCTTTCCTTACCAAGGAGGTGACACCCCCCCTGCCCCGCGCCCCCCCCCCCCCAGGGGCCCTGCCTGGAGAACCAGTGCCATCCCCCTTGTTCATACTGTGAGAGTGTTCAGGGAGCAGAAGCCATCCCCAGTTTCAGAGAAATACCATAAACATTTCTACAGGAGCAAAATGAAACTCAGTAGGAAAAGCCCAAGGGACATTTCAGAGGTTCTCAAGGAAAGGAGTCTATCTCCAACCTCCAGCCACCTCCAGCTTTACAATTTCTACCAGAAGAGTTCTGGTTGAATGGATCACACAGAATACACTAAATGATAGACCTAGCAACATTTGCTCAGCATCCCATCTATTACATGTGCTTTGTTATTTAGCTACTTTGAGGACTCATGTTTGACTAAAATCACGCCCAAAGTCTCAACAGAAACCTCATTGTGTAGGAAAGCCACATCTACTACATAAAATTTAAATTTGCAAAAACACTAGCATGTCAGTCAGAGATACATACTCAAAATATCTGTGCACTTAGATTGAAATGAAGCTTTTTCTACCCCCTCTTTCTCTCTTGATTTTTTTTCTCCCCCCCCAACCAACTGAAGTGAGATAAACAGACCACAGTAGCAGGTTTTCTCCACATCATATGGGGAAGATGAAAACATGAACAGTAGGAAGCTGGCAAATCTCTGAGAAGTTTCGGGGTAGCTGGGAATTAATGGACAGGACTTTGCTTTTAGCTTGAAGATGAAGAAAGTAGCCTTAGCAGGTGCGTGGTGTTGCTAGGCAACCCCAAGCTACCCCCAGCACAAGTTCGTTCTGCTGGTGGCCTTCTGAGGAGGTGACTTGTTTTGTTTGTAAAGTGCAAAGCCAGCTTCTGCTTAAGGAAAAACAGAATGTAGGAAGTAATTAGTCTGGAGGGCAAATGGGCATCAGGTGGCAACTTTCTCTGGAGAGGATCCTTTAACTGAAGTTGGATTGGGCTGATGGGCTCATCCTTGGGGATCCAAGAAGTCTCCTACATGGAGTCTTCTGGATTTCAGGCTAGCACTGCTGATTTCCTTGAGTGTCCATCTCTGGGATCACTGATACAGAATGTGATAAGGCACAGCTTTTGATTCTTTGCACAGCTAGACAGCTGGCTATCTGGAGCCTTCACGTTCTACCATGACCCTAGCCTAGGGATTCTCAATTGAGGCTAGTTATTTCCCTTTTCTTCTTCTAGGGGACATTTGGCAAGGTCTGGAGACGTTTTTGATGATCACAACTTGGGGAGGATGCTACTGACATCTACTGCATAGAGGTCAGGGGTACAGCTCAACATCCCACAGCGCACAGGACACTCCCCACAACAACGATACAGCCCCAAATGTCAACAGTGCCAAGACTGAGAAATCTTGCCTTAGACCCCACACTCCATGAAACCTGAGAGTTCCTTGTTTGTTGTTGGATCGCAGAGCCTGGCCTTGTGTCAGGCACATTGTAGATGCTTGAATGAATGCTCATTCAGGTTGTGCTAGATCATTTCAGCCTGCCTTATCTATAAACTCTCCTGAGAGGCATGAGAAGATAGTGGGGCCTCTTTCTCAAAGATCAAAAGAGAACTTTCAAGGGCAGCAGCGATGTCTTGGGCTGGTTCTATCAGACTTCCAATACCTTTGGCAGGATGGAAATGGTGTAATTTCTTTTTTCTTTTTTTTTTTTTTTAAGATTTTATTTATTTACTTGACAGAGAGATAGACAGAAGAGCACAAGCAGAGGGAGTGGCAGAGGGAGAGGGAGAAGCAGGCTCTGCACT